AATATAGGGTAGTTTTTAAAGATGATAAGCCTTTGAAGAATATAATAAATCATTTCAATACTGAGAAAACAACTCTTACAGCTTGGTTTAAAGCTAATGCAATATATCCAGAAGCAAGAGGGCTTATTTATGCAGACTTTTCAACTCAGTAGATATATGATAAGTGAACCAAAAAATAGAACTTGAAACAAAAAGGTTAGGGTAATGACATTTATCACCTGATTTTTTTTTATCAGAGGCTTACCCCCCTTCTAGCTTTTAATATACAATTGATCAGATATTATATATAAAATTTTAATTTTTTTGACCCCTCCCTAAAAAATCACCTGATAAATATCTATACTCTTAGAAATGAATGATTTTAATATGTACTATTACTTATAATTACTTAATATTGCATCTATTTTTTTACATATTAAGTAATTAAGTTAAAAAAAAAAAAAGCCTTACAAATGTATTACTATATTTCGCGGGCTAAACCACCCTCCACTATACAATTTTACAACTTCATACATTAGTGTTTGACTATTATATTTGTGCAGATTTTGTACTTATATCATAGTTCTACTTATATTAATACCATATTGATAACAATAAATGACTATTAATATTAAAAATATTTAGATAAAAGCTAGTAAATATTTTATAGGGAGGGTGGTTTAGCCCATGAAATACGATACTAATCTGCAAATTTTAAACATCAGAATTATGCTTTTCAAGTTATATTTGTGAATCATAACAGTCATAATAAATGTTAATTAAATAACAATATATTAAAATAGTTAAGAATTAAAGAATAGTTATTGCTTACATAAATTATTACATTGCTCATTTCTAAAAAAAGGTAATACAATCGGTTATGTATACTTTGTACATCCTGCGGCAGGCGAATGATATTAATTATGAATACTGCTAAATGTAATTCATGGAGCAACTTCTTTTGAAAATCTCTGCACAATAGAAGGAATAATCTATAGCACTTTCAAAGAAGCATATATAGCATTAGGCTTATTGCAAGATGATGAAGAATGGAATCAATGCTTAGCAGAAGCTAAACAAATACAATCAGGAGCACAATTATGTTATTTGTTCGCAACTCTACTGATATTCTGCAACCCGACTAGACCTGAAATACTTTGGAAAAACCACATTTCAGCACTCAGTAATGATATTCTTTTTCAAGTTTGCTATAACACAGGAAATATGATGCTTGAGCTTATGGATGCTAATATATATAATAGGGCACTTCATTATCTACAAACTATCTTAAACAGACACAAAAGACATCTTGATGAATTTCTGAACATGTCCCTCCCTACTACTTTTCTTAATAATGAACAAATTAATCATTTGATAAGTGAAGAACAACAATATGATATAGAAGAACTTACTAAACTTATTGAAAATAATCTTCTCTGCCTAAATATAGAACAGCAAGCCATGTATATAAGTATTATTGCCGCTATGGAAGCTAGAATTTCTTCTGTTTACTTTATTGATGGTCTAGGTGGAACTAGAAAAACCTTCCTATACAGGCAAGAAAATTATTTTCAAAACCGATGATATTCTGTAGTGATATTTATTTGTTTTAAAAATAAATAAATATTGCTACAAAAAATCATTGGCCCTGATTATTTTACACTTATACAACATTAACTTACTAATTTATTATTTAGTATTTTACTCACAAAGGTCTACTTAATGGGATATATTGCACTTGCTATTGCTTCCTTAGGCATTGCTACTCTTCTTTTACCAGGTGGCCATATAACTCATTCCTGATTTAAAATCTCTTTTGATCTACAAGAAGGCTCTACCTGTTCTGTGTCTCATGGTTTCAATTTAGTCTTACTACTACAGCAAGCACATTTTATTGTGCGGGATGAAGCTCCGATAGTACGTAGATATGTATTTAAGGTCCTAGATCAAACATTAAAAGATCTTATGAAAGCTATAAATCAGTTATTGGAGAGAGAACCTTTTGAAGAAAAGATTATAGTATTTGAAGGTGACTTTTATCAAATACTCCCTGTAGTACCAAAAGAAAGTCGTGAAGATATCGTGAAATCCTGTTTGCAACGATCTTATCTGTAGAGATATGTAAAGGTAATGAGGTTAAAGACAAACATGCGCCTCCTTCAATCTGCTAATGAGCCAGATGCTAAAGCACAAGAAGAATTTGCCAAATGGCTACTTAAAATTGGAGAGGGTCACATTCCTTCTATCAATAGATTGGAAAAAGACATAATCCAAATTCTCAGAAACTTTGTTTTACCATCTCAAGATATTAATAGCTTGATCCACTTTGTTTATCCTAATCTTTTTTTGCATTCTAATTCTTGGTATTTGGTTGAATATGCAATACTTACCTCGAAGAATGACTATGTCGATGTTATTAACTTTACAATTATGTCTCAATTTTCTGGTGAGGCAGTCGAGTATCTCAGTGCTAACACAACTGAAAAACATACTGAGTCAGAGCATCAATATCTAATAGAATTTCTTAACTCATTATCTGCTGGAGGTCTTCCTCCCTATAAATTGACACTAAAGCTAGGATCTCCAATTATATTACTACGTAATATTCATCTGTCTTCTGGTCTTTGTAATGGAATCAGGATAGTTTGCTGTTCCTTTTAGAAATATATTATTGAAGCAAAAATCATAACTGGGAAACATGTTGGATCCGTGCTTTTCTTTCTTGTATTTCAATATCACCTTCTAATATCAACTTACCTTTTGCTCTTAAATATCATCAATTCCCAGTTCAACCAGCTTTTGCGATGATGATTAACAAATCTCAAGGACAGACATTGAATTGGATAGGTTTATACCTACCAACCCTGTATTCTCTCACAGACAATTGTATGTCACCTGTTCAAGAGTCATGTCAAGAAACAATTTGAAGATACTTATTACTGCATGAGAAGAAAGTGAAAGTCAAATCAATAAAACACGAAATGTTGTATACCCAGAGATCTTTCAGTAAAAAACTTGAGTTTTGTATTCTGGGTTTTATTCAACTTGTAGCTTTTTTAAACAGTTCTTTATAACCAATGTTCTGATCAAAAGATATATATGTATTAGTGCTACTTTATTCAAGAGTGAGATATATATATGAATTAAACTTTCTTTGTTATAAGTTTGTACGTTAGATTTCTACCTACAATAAGAGTAAGTTTTTAATAATAATTAGGCCATACAACCTTAATTTTAGTTTTATATTAATATCAAGACACACATTAGATGCTAATTGATCGATCAAATCCTTAATCTTAATCGAAGCATATTCAATATAAGCTGATCAGTATAGGCAGAGTTGTCATGTCCAATGATCTGGATTAGACATTGGATGCCCAATGGTTTGGATTAGACATTAAACGTCAAGATCTAATTGGAAAAATGTCTAAAAATCATGATTGGACATTGGATTAGACATCTGATCAAAGGTGTTTAAATGTCCAATATACAACACTTAGTATAGGAACTTTAAAGCCAGGTGCAGGTTTGGGTCACTTTTTAATACAGTTATGGTAAGTGTTTATAAAATATCAAGAATACAATTTATGCATTAATATTTGAACACACCTGGCTTTAATGGACGTATATATGAGATATCTGGTATATATTGGTATGTACAGTTGCTTCAAAAAGAAAAAAGGTTGTCATAGTTGTACAAAACGTAATACATAGAGAAACATAGTCCTTTTATCCTACCTATTATAGTAAACCTGATCATGGGTATCTAAAATAGAACATACATTATCACATATGCATAGATGCTCATGATCATGTACAGATAATTAGGTATAATATGTACAATTAACAATATATTCTCAATATATAGGATTTGATTGTGCTAGCAATTGAAAACTGTGGTATTTTTGCTTAAATGTTTTTTTTGTAAGTTTTTATTATTCTGATGAAGCGTAGCGTTAATTAAACATGGCGAAGGCCCTTTTCCAATGTTACATAGTCCTCTCCAAAATACCAGACGGATAACCGCGTGCTTGCACGTAGGTGTCCGTCGCGGTCATTTTGGGTATTTAGAAAAAGCCGGAACGGGTCCTCAGATAAATCACGGAACGGGTCCTCGGATAAATCATCCCAGATCTGCAACCTCCCACCCAGCCCCCTCTGGTGAGCGAC